AATGGTGGGGTCAGAAGTCAGACTGCAGAGAGTTAAGAGAGTGAGAAGGAAGGAAGTGAAAACACTTATTGCAGATGGGCCTTCTTGAAGAGTTTAGTCAAGAAAAGGGGGAGAAGACATATAGGATGATAATTATTGGGGATGAATGAATCAAATGAGGGGTTTTTTGAGGATGGGAGAGACACAGGCATGTTTGTAGGAAGTAGTGAAGCAAATAGTAGATTGGGAGACTAGTGAGAAAGTGGATATTAGAGGAGGCAGTCTACTGGGGAAGACTAGAAGGAATGGGATCACTTAAGCATGTGGAGGGGTTTGCCAACTCCCCTACCACAACCAGTGAATTGAGGGTTATGATTGAAAGTACAATCAGTGCTGAGAAGAATGGCCAGGGAAGTTGTGTCATTAGGAGAGAGCCAGGTTTCAGAAAGTGCAAGAAGATGGAAGAAGTGAGAAAGGAAAAGCCTTAAGATGGAAAAAGCATTCTTAACTGTGGCACAGACATTCCTGAGAGCATAGTGGAAGGGATGGGCAGATTGGAGTAGGAGGTGAGGGTGTCGGGTGGGGCTGGTTTGAGGAGAATGAGAATAAGGGAGCAGGGAGTGGGAGTTAGAAAACAGGGTTTATATACAATGATAGCTATAGGATAATAATCACTATTGGGGAGAATATGATGGAGTTGGGGGTGGGGAGTATTGATCATTGAGAAATTATCTTTGATTGATTATCATCCTCCCTGGGGGGACTAGATATGGAGATGAGGCAGGTTGCTAGTGATTCTGGACCTTTTCCCTATGTAGAAACTTGACCTCAAGGTGGAGTTTTCCCAGGGCATTAATTGGGAAGGGGGAGAGACATACCACCTGGGGGCAAGGCAACTAGTATGGAATTTTGGGAGGCCTAAGAGGCTGAGGTACCACAATGGAATGAATGGCCCTAGCAGGAACCTTCCAGCGGTCTAGGCAAGGATTATGAAGGGTTTAGAAACAATTGAGAGGAGAGAGAAACTGGAAACCTATAATGTAAATAGTAAGGAGTTTAGCTAAGAAGGGGAAGAGCGGATTAAATAAGGTTGTTTTTTTTTCAAGGATTGAGAAGATATGAGCATGTTGGTAGACAGCAAAGAAGGAGTCAGAAGATAGGGAGAGATTGAAGATTAGAGAGAGATTAGGGATAATAGCAAGGATAACCTAATGGAGAAGATGGGAAGAAATGGGATCATTGTGAATGTAGAATGGTTTGCCTTGACCAAAAAAAAGTGCATTTTTTTTTATGTAAGACAGGGGTAAAACATATTAGTGATGTGAGATGAGAAGGAAGGGAAAAGAGGGAGGTCTCAGTGGATAGCCTCAATGAAATAAGGATTTCTCAATGAAATATGAGGCAAAGTCCTTAGCTGAAAGTTTGGAGGTGTGGTGGGGGAGAGGGAGCATGGGAGGATTTGGGGAAAGTATGAGAAGTTTGGAAAATTATGAGGTGAGGTCCTCAACTGAGGGGATAGGTCTAATCACATAGCTACAACACTAGTTCAGGAAGCTCATCACTTCTCACCTGGACTATTAAAATACATTTCTAATTGGTCTCCTTGCCTGAAGTTTTTCCCCACTCCAATTTAGCCTCCACTCAGCTGCCAAACTAATTTTTATAAAGCACAAATCTTCCCCCTCTCCCCCACTCAGCAAACTCCAGTGGTTTCCTAATTATCTCCAGGATCAAATATAAAATCCTCTATTGCTAATTTAAAGCTCTTCGTAACCGACCTCTTCCCTCCTACCTTTTCAGGCTTCTTATGCTTTATTTTTACATAACAGTGATGTAGGTACACTAGCTTACTTGCTTTTCCTAGCACATGGCACTCCATCTCCCTTTTCCATGCCTCTGTCCTAGCTGTCCCACATTCCTGGGATGCTCTTCTTCCTCATTTCTGCCACCTTGTTTCCATGGTTTTCTTCAAGGCTTAGCTCAAAGCTCACCTGCTGCAGGAAGCCCTTCCCAGGGCCCCAGTTGCAAAATATTTCTCCTTTCATGTTACCTTGGGTCTACTCTCTCTATATGTCTTATATTGCTTTTGATTTCCATGTTGTCTCCTCTATTAGAATAGAAGCTTGATACCAGAGACTGTTTTTGTCTCTCCAGCTATTAACACGCTGCTGCCTGGCATGTAGTAAGTGTTTAATAGATGCTTGCTACCCAACTGATTAACTAACAGGAGAGTGGGCTGACTGGACTACTTTCACAAAATTGTAGGCTTCTTTACTGATCCCAAGCTTCCCATGAAATACTAAGTCTGTCTTTTCAATATCAACATTCTACAGTATTACATCTAGCAGTGAGATTTGGAATACAGCTCCCTGCAAAGAAATTATGTAGGCTTTAAAATATGAACAACAAGGAACACTAAGGAACAGGAGGAAAAGGTGTTATCGAGGAGATGTTTGCTTGGAAGAGAGGATGGGTTGTTCAGATGGAGAGAACAAGAGATGATGGGTGAACAGATAATATACCGCTAGTGCCCTTGTTACATTAGGAGAAAATAAGGATGACCTCCATTGTGTTCTTGGATGGACTCCTGTGGCAAGCTTTTGATAGACTATGAAAGAGCCCATCAGATGGGCAGAGGTGAATAGGTCACATTCTGCATCATTAGAAAATCAGTGGGATCATGTACCTCCTTACACTGTGAGGATTAAATGAGAGAATATATGTAAGGTGTTGTGTAACCCTTAAAGGAGTATATAAATGTTAGCTATTATTCAAAGTATACAGATACCAGGTTAGGTTTGTATTCAGTTATAAATATGCTCTTCTTTTGAAATAGTGATTAGCATAAGCAATATTTCAAGACATCGTCAACATCTGTAATGTGATACAAAAGTATTTGCCATTTCTGTTGGTTGTCACCAGTACAGGTACTGCTAATACTACTATAGTTTGTTTCCTGTACTCATTATTGAAGAAAATGCTAAATTTTTGTTAGAAGGTAGTGAAAATGAAGATTTTTTTTCATCTAAATTCACAGACCCCCTGAAATCTATCCATACCCACCTTGGGGATCCATGGAACTCAAGTTAAGAGTTCTTGGACTGTTTAGAAAACTCTAAAGATTCAACTAAAAATTTATCGAAATAATAGTTTCAACCAAGTTGCAGAATAACAAAACATAAATTGTCAGTATTTATATATATATATATCTATATATACATATATAGATATATATATATATATAACCAACTGTATTTATCAACAAAATCCAGCAGTAATAGAGAAATCAAAATAACAGTAGAATGTATAAAATATTTGAGCATCTACCAAGACACATAGGCATACAATATGAATATTACTACAAAAAACTCTTAACAAAAATAATGGTAGACCTGAAGAATTGACTGAATATTGATTGCTCATGTTAGATCATACCAATATACTTCTTCCCTATGTGAATTGCTCTCCAGCCCAATTGGTCTTCTTAATGCCTGGCACATAATAGGTACTTAATAATGCTTGTTGATAATTTGATTGATTGCTTCCAATAGGTATTGCCTTATCTATTCTACTAGATTGTAAACTTGAATCCAGGGACCATATGTTATACATTTTTGTATACCCCAAAAGATTTATTAGCATAGTATCTTTCACATAGTAGGTACTCAAACACTTATCAAATGAAATGAGTGACAAAAGGAAACACTATTTAATAGTGAGGATGACTCCTCTAGTATGTCAAATTTTCCCTGTGGAAAATACTTAAAATAATAGAATTTTAGAGCTGCATGTACTTTATAAATCCTCTGATCCAGCTTCCTCATGAAGAACTGAAATCCAGAATCTTTAGACAAGTTGTCTAAGGATGCACTCTAGTAGGTTCAGAACTGGGCCTGGGACCGAAGTCTTCTGATTAACAATCCAATATGTTCTTTCTTACATTGTCTACTTTTTACTAAGGGAAATTTTTATCTAATTTTGTGTTCTGGAGAGCCAAGATATCATTAGCACATAATATTTGTCTAAAGAAAAAGAATATGAAAATGTAAATGAAAACAACACTAAAAGACATCTGAATTCAGATTGCATGCAATGACCAATCTTGGTCCTGGAGAAGAAATGATGAAACCCTTCCCAGCTCTCAATGTGAGGGTAAAGGATTGCAGGTATATAATCATGCATATGTTGTCAGACTTAGCCACTGTGTCATTCACTATTTTTTTTGTTGTTACATGAGAATGTTCTGGAAGACCTAGGGCATATCAGTAAAAATCTTGTAATAAACAAAAGACATCAACAGAATTTTTAAAAATGAAAAAATATGTGATGCTTTGTCCACTCTGATAATCCTAGACAAATGGCAACAATAATAAAATTGGGTACTAACTTTCCAATTAAAGAACACTAACCCATTGCTCCCCTTCACTAAATTAGGGGCAACATGTAAGGGATAGAAATTGTTTTGTATTTATTTGTGCCAGTAATTATTTTTTAGAAGGATTTACAGAAAGCCAGTGGAGATATCCAGTGCTATTAAAACTCAGTTTTCTTTGTAAATCCAGTTTTTCCTGAGGTGATTGATTCATAGTAAGCCAAGATACTGAAGCCATGATTTTACTCATTATTACCCCTCCCTTTTTTCTTTTTCATCAAAAGGGAGTAACTGTTTTATTTGGGGAGCAGTGTACTAAAAAGAAGAAAATTGAATGAATAAAACAAAATGTCTAGATCCTCTTAAACTTAATTGTCCGAAACAGAATCTAATATTTGCACAACTTTTGTTGCAAGTGTCCAGATATCTTATGGAATTGGTGTTTATTTAGTCAAGCATTACCTGATGAATTTATATTTTTATTTTCAGGTTTTTTTATTAAGAAAATCAGGTTAGCATCTGTTTCTTTTGAAAAATTATCCACTCAAAGGAAAGCTAATTAATTTTAAATATATTTTTGTTTATTGCATTTTTATTGACATTTAAAAATTAATGGTAACAACTTTGTGAATGTCTTGTTTCTCTACAGCTGTGGCTCTCCCATTCAAGTTTCAGAGGTGAAGCTGCTTTCATTCTCATCAGGGCAATTAACTGTTTTCCTCCCAGCGGAAGTTAAATCTATAGGGACAGAAACAGATCATGTCCTGCCTCTACAAGAATTAGCCATGAGAAGTCTGTATAACACCTATTACAAGTTAATAAAAGGTATATTGAATTGTTTTTAAATTTTCTTACATTAAAGGGAAAAAGGTTTTGTTTCAATTTCTGTTTTAATGCATAATGTGGAAAAGACTGTTAAGTCTTCTGATGATCCTTTCATCCCTAATTGCAGACACAGATAGCAATCCTATAAATGTTGTCTTCATTTACAGAAGACAATAATAAGAAGTAAAAATTTGACTGGTTTAAATGCAAAAGAAATTGGAAACGTTTTAGTCCATGTGAAAAGACTTCTCCACTGACTTAAGTGGAGAAAGAACAATTTTCAGTTGGAAAGTAATTGAAAAGAGCGTATCCTTAAGGCAAAATGGAATGCTTCTCACAACAGTGCTTACTTACCCCTAGCTTTACAGCCTTCTCATAAGTGGCAATCTTGATATTCATAAGGAAAAAGAAATATTAAGAGCCGTTGGCTGTTTCAGAACAGCATGACAACTGAGATGTTTTAGTTCTGCCCAAATTGAAAATCGTTGTTGAAAACTGGCCCATGACTTTTCTAGTTCTAAAGCATGCACATGAGATACTTGTGTTCAAGTTCAACTGAAGGAATTCATGCTTTGGAAAATATTTGGTGTGTGTGGATTTTACAGTATTTGTGGGAATGATAGTTGGGGTTGTTTCAGAAAACAGTAGGTAACATTAAAGGGGAAAAGTAGTTCAAAAGCCGTGTCTTTTAAAACCACTGACTTTTGCTTTTGTTATATAAAAAAGGGCCAGGCACACGTATTCATATTTCATAGAACAATACAATATAGATCAAAATTATTTTTAAAACCTAAACAGATTGAACTGTGATGAAATTATAGTTTGCTAAAGAATTCTTGTTGAATCTTTATCCGTAGAGAAAATATAAAGAAAATATCTAGGTAATTAGTGTTTGTTTTAAAGACAAATTCAAATATATTGTAGGTTGTGTTTGATAATAGCGATCCATTAAAAATTTCATTTTTGTAAAAATTGATCAAGCTTAAGCTGCATCTTTAAAAATCTATTTCATAAAACTCAAATCAATATTACAAGTACCATCTTTAATTAGTGACAACTTCTGGGAGAATTTGAGGACAGGCTAATTAACTAAAGATTTTTTTTTCTTTAAAATATTCCGACCTTTCCTTGTAAAAATAAATATAATACAGTTTTATTTTTTAAACTAATATTAGACATAAAGTAGCTTTAGTGAACTTGATAAATCATTGTTCAATACCAGTAATTTTTTCTGACTCTTAGAAATCTTTAATACCTTCTCCTGGTGAATTCATATCTAGAAATCCTTCTATTTATTTTTATAAATTTTTATGTTTATTTTTCTTTCTTCTTATGTTCATAGGCATTGTTTCTGGTTATTCTTAAAATATGGTGTCTTAATCTTTCTGTTAAAAATAGAGAAATTACTTTCACTTCCAAATAATGTCCATTTTTTTACTTAAGACAAAAACATCGTAGCAAACAACAAAAAGAATAAACATGGTACTGTTAATGAAATTGAACATATTTGGTAATTAAGAAAAGTATCATTTTAAAAAAGTGATTTTGATTAAAATTGTTCTTTTATTTTATTTATATGGTTTTCTCTTATCTTCCAGATTTGAACTTCCTGTCTCCAATCTCATTACCCAGAAGTCTCCTGGAGCTGCTGCACTGCCCTCTGGGACATTGTCACCGTTGTAGTGAGCCAATGTTTACTATTGTCTACCCAAAGCTCTTTCCCCTGAGAGAGACACCAATGGCGGGGCTGCACCAGGGGTAATTACACTAAAATGTACACTGAGATTTCAGTGTTACACAGGGGTCAAATACAAGGAAAAACTTAGATAGAATAAAAGAATGTTATTTAACTTATCATCCTTAAAAGTCCACAATATGTTTTCTGAGATGCATCTTAAGTGAAATAAGGACATTGTTAATATTAGCAAGACTAGTGCTATTTATCAGCTCATTTTTCTGTAATATACTGAATTTTTTTCAGCATGTTGATATTTAAACTAGATTATTCTTTATGTTTTTTCTTACTCATCTTTCATGTTCATAATAGCCTCTAGGCAGTAAGGGATGCCAAGAAAGAAAAAATAAGTTATATAAGATAGCTAACCCAGCCCTTTGGGATAGTAGATATTACTAACCAATGAACATATGGCTCATCAGATAATCCACACCCTGGAATTTTCAGAGAGGAGGGGTGTTGGGTTTTTGTTTTCTATTTTACCTCTTCAACCCTTCCTTAAGTGCCTTGAAATTTGATGTGTATTCACTAAAGAAAAGCATAGAGATTTTAAAAAATAAAATGCTTTATTAAAAATAGCATGATACTTTTTAATATGAAAATGTTTATATTTTTTTCAAATTATGTGTAAAAATGTTTAACTTTCATTTTTTTAAAATTTTGAGTTCCAAATTCTCTCCCTCTCTACCTTCCATCCCCGCTCTCTGAGATGGCAAGCAGTTAGATATAGATTATACATATGTAGTCATGACATGACAATTTTTTAAACATTCATTAATATACCGTTAGCTTATGTATTTTATAGATTTGGGGAGCTGCCTTTCAAATGTTTAATTAATTAACTACTTCTATATTTCTAGACAAATTGAGTTTACTTTGTCTCATTTCAAAACTTTTTATAATCATTTTAATGCAATTCAGACATTCATAAGAATCTTTGCTGTCATTGCTGTGGATACTCATTCCATATATACATGTTGCCACACATCCATATATTTCTTGATTGTTCCTGCAGTTAGCCTAGGCTTGTTTTTACGTACAACATATAAATGTAATTGAAAATTGCCTTATTAAGGAAGACTTATGTTACTATCTACAGATATCACCATGTAAGATTTTTTTGGTGATGTTTAATTAGCTTAAAATGCATATACATTTATACCTTTGTTGTCTCTAATGCAAATATTTGTCAAATGTATACATTCTAAAAAGGAATGTAATGGGAATCACATCAAACGCACAATTAATTTACATAACTATATGTACATGGAAAAAAGAGATAAATAATATGGGCAATTCAATCCATAAATCAGCGAACATTTGTTAAGCATATGCTGTATGTTAGGCACTGTGCTGAGCACTGAGGATGTGCAGATATAAGTAAAACAGGCTTTGTCCCAGTTGGAGAGACCACAGCTACATAAATATGAATATTTAGACAAAATATATAAAAGATCATTTGAGGGCAGTCACTAGCATCTGGGAAGATCAGGTTAAGGACTCATGTGGTACTTGAGCTAAGATGAGGAGAGCCTGCATTCCAGACATGGGATGGAGGGAGAGGTACAGCTTGTGTAAAGGCACAAAGACAAGAGAATGTTGTGTATTTGGAACAGAAAGGTCAGTTTGCCTAGACCGTAGAGTGAAGGAGGAGGAGTGATTTGTAATCAGGTTGGAGCCAGCTTATGAAGGGCTTTAATGCCAAAAAAAGAGGAGTTTGTGTTTGATCTTAGAGGAAATTGGGAGCTATTGGAGTGTTTTGAGCAGAGAATTTTTGTTTTAGAACTAACACCCTGGCAGTGGTACACTAGATGGATGGGAAAGGGCAGAGACTTGAGACAGGAGGACCAGTGAGGAATCTGGGTGGCGAGAAATGACAAGGTCCTGAACTAGGCTGGTGGCCATGTTGGGGAGACAAGGAGTTGGACATGAGTTGCTCTGGAGGTAGAATGACAAAACTTGGCAACTAATTGAATATGTAAGAGGAGGGAGAACTAGGAGTTAAAGATGATTTCAAGGTTGAGTGTCTGAGTGACTGGAAAGCTGATCGTGCCCTGAACAAAAATAGAGAGGTTTGGAAGAGGGAAGCTATGGGGAGCAGGGGGCTGGGCAGGTATAATGAGTTCTTTTGTGGACATGTGGAGTTTGAGATGCTTATCAAATATCTAGTTCAAAATGTTCAATTGGGAAGAAGGAAACAAGCATTTATTAAGTACCTACTATGTGCCAGGCACAGTGCTAAGTATTTTACAGATACTTCATTTGATTCTCACAATAGCCCTGGGAGGTAAGTACTATTATTATACCCATTTTACAGTTTAGGAAACTGAGGCAGATAGAGGTTATGTGACTTGCCCAGTGTCACACAGCTAGGTGTGTTTTTGAAGCTGGTGAGGATATTTGGAATAAAAGAGGAGAGAATGGTAGATGATTTTGTGGAAGGGAAGTTATGAAGGGGGCTATTTCACAAGTAGCTTATATATTCTCAGTAAAGCATGAGGTGAATGCCTTTGGTGAAGGAGTGGCAACAGAGTTTGAGAAGCCATTGGATATATTTGTGTCTCAGAATGAGTTTGATTTTAGAAACATCATTTTGCCTTCTTGCTCTCCTAGCAGTCATCCCCTTCCCCCACCGATTGATTTTGTTATTCTCATCCTCCACCTCCCCTAAACACTTCTTTGCATCAGGCAGAGGGAGGGGAGAGAAAGGGGATAAGTATTAGAGAAGAAGGGAAATAGCAGAGTGCTTAGCAGGTGAGTACTGGCACCTCATCCACTCAATTTTCAGACCAATTCTTATCCCAATGTAACATGCTTCTAATATCCTAGAGAATGTTGGAGACCTGCTATGGGGAATAGGTAATTTAACTATACAGGATTTTCACCTCTCATTGTGACTTTAGTGCCCACCCACAATGTAAGATAAAATTTCAATATGTATACCATGCATAATTTGACCTTTTCATAGTAACTGTCATAAATTTTATATTGATTATCATGCAATATTATGATGATATCTTTATCTGGGACTGTATGGTGTCCAAGGTCTTTTCTCCGATTAAAAATTCTGTGAACTACAGGGGCATTCTAAAGTTGTTTTTCTCAACCAAAGCTTAGTCACAGTGTATTATGTTTTTGAATTTTTAGGACTAATCATCCTGAATCTGCCCAGGTATCTCTTGTCATTTTTACCTGGTGTCAGTATACTTCTTTATAGGAGTTCTTCCCTGTTCCTTTCTAATTTGTGACTTAATCTGCTGTGACCTGGAAAGCCACATGACCAAGTTTGATAGAACTGTGTGATTAGCTCCTGGTGAGGGCTGGAAGTGGTCTACTATAAACAAAATGTATGAATTATATAACATCTATCCCTCCAACTCAGAGTCCTTATTTAATGTCTTTCAAGTTTGGGGCCATATTTGTGATTGGTAAGATTTCTGGATAATGAACTTCCAGATAAGAAAGATGTTAATGTATAAGCAGTTTTAATTAAGCATTAATCAAAAAATATTGTGTAATATTTTCCATAGACACTAACAAGATGCCTCTTTTTAAAATTTGTATATTATAGCATATTTTGTTATTAGAAAGATACAACCCAGGTTGATGAGATGAGCAATTAGGAAAAAATGTGAATGGTGTTTATTATCTTCCTACTTTCAAGATTATCTTTTTAGAGTCTTGCCTTTATCAGAGGTGTTAGTCCTTTAGAACTATGGTGATCCTTGCTTACTAATGTGAAATAGAAATTATGAAATTCAAACTCATTCATATAAATATAATCAAGGTGGCTCCCAAGAAGCTAAACAGAAAAAAATTTTAAAAATAGATTTTCCCAAGTACTTTTCCCAGAGTAATCATTTTTTTTAAGCTAGAGAGACTTCCAGTATGAAATCACATTTGTGTTCCCTATGATGGGAGAATTGAGGAAAAACTCAATATTCTTTTATTCTACAGCAGCCAAGCACATTTACATTTACATTTACATCTGTCTGCTAAGGTGAAAAATACATTCTCCGAAAAGTTGTAAGCAATTGGATCCTGGAAGGTCAGGTGTAGTCTTTTGTAATCTAAGAATATAAATTTAATAGTAGTAATCCAGCAAAAATTAACATTTGCAACATAGCACTTAAAACGGTGTGACATTTCAGTGAATTCGACCAGCGTTGCCCATTTTGCAGCAGAGAAGCTATAGATGCCAAGGTGCAAAGTAACTTGCCTAAGGCCACATGATGAGTTAATGGCTAGGACAGGGTTTAAAATTGAGAGTTTGTGACTTCCATCTCAGTCCAGTAGGCCATGTTTCTTCCCATGTTGCCATGGAGATTGTAATAAAAAAATTCACTACAGTTTCTATCATAGTCATTTAGAGTACTTTCTTTTGTAATTAAAAACTAAATGCTTGTCTTTAAATCTCTGATGTCTTACTACTGAAAATAAATTCAATTGTGTTCTTATGTCATGTGCTATGAAAGATTCTGGTAAGTTTCATTTTTAAAATCACTAACATTTTTGTTGCTTGTCATAGAATAATATATTGGATCACCTAATATCTAAATAAATGTACAAAGCTGGCATTTAAGACTCTCCCTCCAAAAAAAAACCAAAAGTTATTCCAAAATACCAAATTCTAGAAAATTGTTGACTCCAAACTAAATTTAACACAAAGAGCTATGAAGCAAAATGAAGTACCAGTAGGTACATAAATACTTATCACTATCTTAGCCGACCAAACATCAGTTAGTGTCCACAGCAGAGAATAACAATTAGCTAATTAATGCATTAAACTATTTTAGACTGCATTCTCAAAACCAGTGTTAATTTGTTTCTAAGTAAAGAATTTCTATTTTGATGCTACCCAATGAAAATATATTTGGCATTTTATGTGTTTTAATTGTACAAGTCACATTTCACAATAGGAACCTAGTTAAGCAATTCCTTCTGTATGCTAGCACGTCTGATTGAGGTAAATGGCTTTAAATAGGCAACCTTAAGACTAGGTGTATAACCGGCCCTAATTTTG